GACATTATCAAGTCAGCCACCTCAGTGCAACTAAAGACAGTCATGAAAAAGGACCTCCAGAACTGCTTCAGAAAGTGGCAGAAACATTGGGATAAGCGTGAAGTGAGCAGGGAGTGTCTTAAGGGGGATTCATGACAGTGTGCCTTTTATTGTAACACATTTAAAAAAAAATAAACATTTTTTGATCACCTCCTGTATTCACAGAGTTGTGCAACCCTCAGTTGATTTTTGCAAGCAACAGTTGTTTTTGGAATATTTTCATTACCCTGAAAGAAACCCCTGTATACATTAATACATCCAGAGTCTCTTCCTATTCCCCCTTAACCCCTCATTTTAGACATTCGTTAATCTACTTTTTTTCTGTATAGATTTGCCTGTTCTGGTAATGGACTCATGTGACTTTTCATGACTGGCTTCTTTCACTTAGCATAATTGTTACTGGATAGCTCCTTCTAAAAGTGGCTCACCGGCTAAACATTACTGGGTTCTGGGTTGCTTACCTCTCTCTCTGGAGTTAGGTTCCAGGTTCTTCTGTTTCGAACAGAGAATTGAACAAAATGAGCCAAAAAACAGTGACACAGTTTCTTTGAGAAAGTAAGAGTAGGGGAGAAACTAGCTCTGCCGAGCGAGCTCAGGTCGAATAAAAGAGGATAAAGATGGAGAAAGTAGTGTGGGCTATCTCTAGGAAAGCCAGGCTAGCAAGTTTGGTGGACCCTCAAATTACGACCAGCCTGACATAATTAGGTTAATGGAAGATTCACTTGCCTCTTGTTATCTACAGTGTGTACCCAGATAAACATCCAGATCTCAGCTGTATTGACTTAGTTACAACCATCTCTTGGAACCGATCAAGTTCGTAAGTCAAGGGTCCACATTGTTTTTTTTTGTGGAGCCGGGGATGGCCTCTTCTTTATGCTGTCCAAATTTCAAGGAAACATGAGAACCCCTACATTCAGGTCCTACGAGGCAGTGCTGGGATCCCACTCCTCAGGCTGACATCAGGTTGAGACCATTCTATCGAAAACCTACTGTGAGAAGTCCACGTGCAGGGCTTTGGGAATTGTTCTACGCACATGTTTGTCATTACCAGATCACGTCTCCTTCCCCAGCCAGCTTTGCCATGCCCTATTCTGTTTTCTCATAATCTTGCCAGGTTCATTCATGTTTTATCATGTATCAGTACTTCACTGTTGATGAATAATATGTTATTTGTGTTTGGCTTTTTGAGACAGGGTTTCACTGTGTAGTACAGGCTGGCCTTGAACTCAAGATGATCCTTCTGCCTCAGCCTCTAAGTGCTGGGATTATAGGCATGTACCATCATGCCTAGTTTATCTGTTTTTAAAATTATAATTATCATGGTGGTTGTGAGGCATTACTACATTGTGGTTTTATTTGCACATATCTCATGGCTTATGATGTTGAGCATATTATTATTATTATTTTGGTACCAGGGATTGAACTCAGGACCTTGAGCTTATGAGGTAGACATGGTGCCATTGAGCTAAATCCTTGGCCCTTTTTTTTTTTACAAGCTCTTGCTATGTAGTTTAGGTGGGTCTTGAACTTATTATTATTATCATTATTATTATTTGTTTTTTTTGAGACAGGGTCTCACTATGTAGTTGAGACTGACCTGAACTCACTATGTAGCCCAGGCTGGTCTCGAACTCAGAGTGATCCTCCTGCCTCAGCCTCCCGAGTGCTGGGATTACAGGCGTGCGCTACCATGCCTGGCTATCATTATTATTATTATTATTATTATTATTATTATTATTATTATTATTATTATTATTATTTTCAAGGCCCACCTGAACTACATAGCAAGACCATGTTCCCCCCACAAAAAAAATAAAAATGGCTGGGTGTGGTGGTACATGCCACCACAGTCCCCAGCACCCCTCTCCCCAAAAGTGTTTATCTTTGAAAGTTAAAGCATGAACTAAGCAGAGAAAGAAAAAAGGGTTTTTTTTCACTAAGCCAAATGAAAAGTGATTAGGGGCCTCCATAAGGTCAGAATCAGAACATGTTCACTAAAAGCTAATTTATAAAAGCTTCTGTAGGGTTGGGAATTTAGCTTAGCAGCATGATGTCTGTCTCAAAAGTGCAAGGTCCTGAGTTCGATTCCCAGTACCAAAAAAAAAAAAAAAGATTATATCAAAGGCCTTTTCTGAATTGTAAAATGTAAATTGTGAAATTGTAAAATGAATCCTTAATGACATCTACTAGAACTAAAGGCCCCATATAGTATGTCTTTATTCCAGTGTCAGTAGAATAAGTACTTATCAGTTTTTCACTTACCATCCTTAGAATCCATTGTTTCTCCAGAAGCTTTGGTTTCTTTTAGTAGAGAATTAGAAACAAAGATTTGGGTGTGTGCTGTGTGTGTGTGTGTGTATTGTTGCTCCCAGGACCTCTCAGGGAATAGAGTTATGGAATATATGTATATTTCCTCTAAATATAGGCATTTATATCTTTCTTTTTTGTATGAGAGATTGAACTTGGATGTCTTTAGCCCTTTTAAGTTTTTATTTTGAGACAGTTTTGCTGTCATTAAGTTGACCAGGTAGGATCTGAACTTGCAGTCCTCCTTCCTTAGCCTCCCAGAGTGTGGGACTGTAGTCTTTTGCCACTGTGCTTTTATCTATATATAGAAATTAATGAGTTCAGAAATTCCATCTTTGTATCAGAGGGTTCATTCTGTTTTTCTTTTTTCTTTCTTTCTTTTTTTTTTGTAGCTCAGGGTTTTTATAAAATGAAAAGCTATTAAAATACACTTCACTGGGAAAAATAAATGAAAGACAAGTGGATCTACACAAAGTAAACATAACTTTGGTAGATTTCAGTGTAGGACAGTTCATAAATGAGCATATTTGCCCTTATTTCCCACAGCTGTTCAACTTCCAAGCTAAGGATTTTTAAAGTCTTTTTGAGATTTTGTTATGTTGAGATTTGTTTTTCATTCCACAACATCTTCCACCAAGCTCTGAGCACTTGCAGTTCTCTGGCTAATTGCTGGGAGCTTAGTGAGAAGCATCTGAAACGCTGGTGGTGGAAGAGTTCACTGTGACACCTGCAGCACCTGCTGTGGCTGTCCACATACAGCCCTTGCGTTTGGCAGATGGTCCACACCCTTCTCATACTCACCCTGAGCTCCTAACTCTTCACCAAGCTGTATTTCTTCAAGGAAGAGTTTCTGAACAGCTTCAGCATCTTCAAGGTCAGGTAACTTGGAAAGCTCAGCCCTCTCCTTGGCAAGCTTCTGTTTCTTTCTTCATTCATGAAACCTGTTCTAGAAGTTGGGATCACTTTGCCTCTTGCGGTTGACCCACCATCGTCTCCACTTTGGCGCATGCCCACACAGGTTCATTCTGTTTTCATCTTTTCTAAGACTATTAGAAATCTGCCTCTTGTTTTTATACTGATTTCATTATTTTCATAGATTACTTATTTAATCTATTACTTATTAGGTACCTAGTCTCCGACCACTGTTATTTCATTTCCCCTGCTAGTCCCCAAACCTTGCTTAAGTAGAAATCTTTTTCACCTCTGTTTGGCTCTGCCCAGGGCATCAAGTTGCCTACCTCTGAGAATTGAGTCTGTTTCTTTTGTTTGTCTGTTTGTTTGTTTTTTTGGCTAGGGTTTGAACCCAGGACCTTGCACATGTCTAGCCCCCGCTCTTCACTGACTTGTGCCCCTGGCCCTGAGTATTGTGTTTTCATCCACTTGGCCTCCAACAGTTGCTGTCACCAATCCCCTCTCTCCCCAGCCTTCTGCCACAGCCCTTCTTCCTTTACACAGCTTCAGTACCACGCCAGGCTGCTCCAGGGAGGACCTCCTCCTCTTCCCGCTCAAGATCCAAGATTTTGTGCTGTGTTGCACCCTTTTACGAGAATGCAGTCTCTCATCTGCTCTGGCCTCGATGCTGAAATATTGGCCTTCCTACCTTCCTACCTTTTACTAGTTCTACTTAGTGAATGGCCTTTTAAAAATATATGCATATATATTTAATGTATACATTCTGTATTGCCAGTATATACTAGTAAATTAATTTAGAGGTTTTTTTGTTTTTGGTATCGGGGATTGAGCTCAGGACCTTGCATTTGCGAGGTAGGTGTGGTGCTTCTGAGCTAAATCCCTGGTCCTCTAATAAATTAATTTAAAAAAGAAAGTATATTCCATGTGAGACTGTTGCAGTGGTTAGTGATGTGGATGGTAAAAGTATTTACCAAGACCAGAGTAAAGATAAAGACAAGGGTTTATTTTGATCAGAGCACACTGTTGGGAGATTGGGGTGGAGGGGTCTGTGCATCGGAGGGGTGATGGTGTTTTTAAAGGGAAAAATATGGGCTGACAGGAAGGAGTGGCTTTATAGGAAGGGATATTAGGAAGGATGACAAGTTGCAGGTTTCTTAAACAGCTCTTTTGAGAACACAGTGTTGTGACTCTGGTGTAGGGCAAATGGAGGCTTTCTGGTTACTTCGCACTCCACATATACTAAATGGTATTCACTTTATCAGCACATATACATAAGGAAGTGATTACTACAGTCAGGCAAATTAGTTCCTTCTCTTCTGGGGAGGGGGTTTCAGAGTGCCTGACAGCTACTATTATCGGCATAATCCCCCACCACATGCACATACACAGATTTATACAATAGTCTTCGTCTACATTTGTCATTTAATAGCTTTCAGAATGAATTGTTTTAGAGGGAGCTTCTGGTGGTCTTTTGAGATAATAAAGTTTTATTGAATTAAAAGTCAGTATTTTATAAGGTAGAAAAAAAACCCACTAAACGGTTTGAAATTTTTACTTTTCAGGTATATTGGATAGTGTTCCAAAAGGACTTCTTTGGCTAAAATTAAATGTAAAATAGCACTTAATTTGATTGATAATTTTTGAATCTTAATTTACATTGGTTAATGAGCTGCTCCTGGCGGAGGAAATTAGAAAACAAATAATAATTTACATATAGAAAATAATATTCTTTTCTCTTTTAGCTCTTCCACCAAAGCCACCCAAGCCAATGATTTCAGCAAGTACAAATGGAATGAAGGACAGTTCCATTCCTCTTCAAGATGCAGAATGGTACTGGGGAGATATTTCCAGGTAACTAAAATGTTTTGATAATTAAATGAAGTTTAAAAAAATTTTTTTTCAACACTGAAGATTGAACCCAGAGATGCCCTACCACCAAGCCATGTCTCCACCCCTTTAAAAATTTTTTTTAAAACAGGGTCTTGATAAGTTGCCCAGGCTGGCTTTAAACTTTTGATCCTCCTGCCTCAGCCTCTTCAGCAGCTAGGGCATGGTGGGGGTGAGGGATTATAGCATGGTGCCTGGCTCAGAAGGTTAATTTTGAGAGTTAGTAGTTAAAATAAAACATTTTAATGCCTCACTAGTTATCATTTAAAGATTACCATTTGAAAAATTGTGTATGTGAACTGTGTGATGGTGCAGGTCTCTAATCTGGCACTTTAGTAGGCTGGGGCAGGAGGATCATAAGTTGAAGCCCAATTTGGGCAATTTAGTGACTTAGCAAGACTATCTTTTTTTTTTTTTTTTTTTTGAGTCAGGGTCTTGCTTGTAGTTCAGGCTAGTCTTAAACTCACAATGTAGCCCAAGCTGGCTTTGAACTCATGTTAATCTTCCTGCCTCATCCTCCTGAGTGCTGGGATTACAGGTGTATGCAACCACAACCCAGCACACGGAGCTATGTTGAAATAAAAAAATATATAAAAGGGCTGGGAATATCATTCACAGGCCCTGGGTTCAATCACCAATAACCCCCAAATTGTGTGCGGGGACTTTCCAAAACATCTTTAATCTTTTTTCTTTCCATTACAAAATGACAAGGAAGTCTTTGTTATAGATGTGATTATACATTTTAATACTGTATTGAGTGTGGATTTCCAAGTACATGAAACATTTTACACTTAAGATAGTTACATATGATTTAGAATAAAAGATACTTTTAATACTTAAATTTTCTTAACCTTTCTCTCTCTAAGGCATGGGTTCCAGAATCTTTCTATGCACGAAACTCATTTGAGTGGAGTTCAGGATTTTGGTATTGACTCTTCTTCACACACCTTACTGTGAGAAACAAGATTCTAGGATAGATTTCCTTTTTGGGTAAAATATAGTTTTGGATAATTCTGAACCCAGAGAGGGAATATTGTATATATTTTACTAATTTGAGTGTTGTATTTTTTATTTTAAAATTTTCCTTATTAAATTTTAATGAGCCTCTAAGTTTTTTTTTAGCATTTCTGCCAAATCAGGTTCCAGGATGATGCTGTAGTCCTCAGTCCTTCCCCTCCCTTTTCTCCATTCTCTTCCTCTACTGAAGTGGTACTCATTTCATTTTTTTACCTTACAATTTCAACCATTTTGAAGTATATAGCCCCCTGGCGATAAGGATATTCACATTGTTGTGCAACCATTACTAATATCCATCTTCAGAACTTTTTCCATTTCCCAACTGAAACTCTTATTAAAACAGTTACCCTTCTCTTGCCTCCTTCTGCCCCTGACTACCACTAGTCTACCTTCAGTCTAGGAATTCAGCTACTCTATGCACCTATTAAAATGGTATCACATAATATTTGTCCATTTGTGACTGGCTTATTTCAGTTATTTGACATTTCTTCGAGGTTCATTCATGTTGTAGCATGTGTCAGAATTTCACTCCAGTTAAAGCTATATAGTATTCTACTGTATGTATATATTGCCAGTTTGTTTACCTGTTCACTGGATTTAATGGACATTTTGGATTGTTTTTAGTTTTTGGCTGTTGTGGATACTGCTGCTGTGAACACTGGTGTGCAGATATCTGTTTGAGTCCTTACTCTCAATGATTTTGGGTATATATGCCAGAAGTGGAGATGCTAGGTCATTTGGTAATTCTGTTTAATTTTTTTGAAGAGGACTTACTATCTTTTATATTCAAACTGATCAGAACACTTTTAAATTTTAGTAATGTACAATAAAAGGGCATATTATATTTAAATGTCACTTAAATTTATATTTTAAGGTCATGTGATTCTACTGTAATTCAAGGGTCTCACATGTGCTACCATTTTCTTTGAGTGCTCAATGTTTGTTCCTCAAAAGTTCTAAGCCGACTCTGCAGAATGAATTTGTTGGTATAAATTCAAATTAGAGAACGTCATAATGAAAGGTTATGCACTTCAGTGAATTTTCTCCCACTGTTCTCGAACAGCTGCCACTGTTGCTTAAATATGACTTTGCTAAACAGCTGCTGGTTTTTCCTGAAACTCTTCAAGTTCAGACCAGCCTAAGAAAGCCCTAAAGGCTTAATGGAAGGACTTTCGTCTACAGATACTGGAAATCAGGAAGAATTTAAAAACTGAATAGCCGTTCCTTAGACTGCATAACACCAAAATTCATACCACAAAGAGCATATCTAGTGGGAAGACTAAATGACCTCTGAGTGCCTGCATGACTCTGTAGCCTTAGGCACACCCATCTTCCAGCTCACAGTAATAGTGATAACATGTGTAGGCAGCCAATGCTTTTTTTTTTCCTTAAAATTTTTCCTTTAATTCTGGTCTTCAGGGAGGAAGTAAATGACAAATTACGGGACATGCCAGATGGTACTTTCTTGGTCCGTGATGCCTCTACAAAAATGCAGGGAGATTATACTTTGACTTTGAGGTAAGTAATTTTTAGTCTTTTGACTGGTGGCTTCTTCATGTTCTTTTAGTTTTGAGTATATAGAGCTGTGTAGTTTATTTGAATCTTTATATGCATATTTTAAAATATTTTTATTTAGATAAATAATTTTTAGTTGTTGGGTTTTTAATTTTTTCTGTACATTAAATATTTAAACATATAAAAATGGCAATTGTTTTTATTTTTATGTAACAATAAAATGGGAGGGCAAAAATCCCCAGCTGTAAGAGACTTAAGAAGACAACAGCTAACCTTATTAATGAAGAAAAAGTCATGGACACAGCTTAAAGTTATTAATGATTGTATCTCTGCACTAACCCTATTTTCCTTAATGCAGACTTTAGAAAGTTGAACTCAACATAATTTTGGCTGATGAGGGTATGTAGAAGATAAAGCATGGCTTATTGTGGGCACATTGAAATCTCTTAGTGGTGGGAATATGACCTTGTATATTTACAAAGATGAGATACATATTAAAAATGGGTTAAGAAAAATGGCATTAGTTGTAACCATATTTAATTTTAATGATTGAATTGTTCAGTTACAATAAAGTTTTATAATTTAAAAAAATAATTAACTATATATCTTTTTTATGGTTTTGAAGATCAAAGCTAGGGCCCTGTGCATGCTAAGCAAGTGCTTTACCCTTTCTTTTTTTCTCTGTCATTAATTTTTTTTTTTTTCGGTTCTGGGAATTGAACTCAGGACCTTGCACTTGCGAGGCAGGCACAGTGCCACTGAGCTAAATCCCTGGCCCTCTCTCAATTTTATTTATTTATTTTTTGTTTTTGGTACCAGAGATAGAACTCAGGACCTTGCACTTGCAAGGCAGGCACAGTGCCACTGAGCTAAATCCCTGGCCCTCTCTCATTAATTTTTGAGATGGGATCTTTAGTTGCTCAGTCTGGCCTTGAACTCCTAGGCTCAAGTGATTCTTCTGGGATTACAGGGACCAGGCGTTGCATTTTGTTTTGTTTTTGAGATGGGGTCTCACTGTGTAGTTCCACTCACTATGTAGCCCAGGCTGGTCTCAAACTCATGGTGATCCTCTTGCCTCAGCCTCCCAGGCATTGGGATTATAGGCATGAGCTATACTGTTTTGAAAAATTTTTCCTTCTCCTCCTCCTGCCCACTATCTCTCTCTCTCTCTCTCTCTCTCTCTCTCTCTCTCTCTCTCTCTCTCTCTCTATTTTTTCTGAATCCAGGGCCTTCACACTGAGCTAGCTACATGCCTTCTTTTTAAATTTTTGTTTTTATTTTAAGATTGTGTCTCTCTAAGTTGCTGAGATACCCAAATTTAGCTTGAATTTGTAATCCTCCTCCCTCAACCTCCCAGAGTACTGAGATTATAGGTGCATGCCACCATGCATGGCTGGGCAATGGTTTTAATCCCTTATTAAGATGATATTTTGCATCTGGATTCCTGTAATACCTAATTAAAAGAAGCAATTCTATAATATAATTATTACATAGTAACATTATGTATAAGAAAAAGACCCTCCAAAAGTTATATAATTTACCTGAAGTTGCCTACCATTCAGGAACAAAGACAAAGAGTTCCCTTCACTGTTTCCTAGCCTAGGGCCCCCTTGAAAATTAAAAAAATTTTTTTATTTTGGTACCAGGGATTGAACTCAGGGCTTTGTGCTTGCGAGGCAGGCGGCGGCACCACTGAGCTAAATCCCCAGCCCAAAAATTTTTAGTTTTTTCCCTAGGGGGTTTTTAAATATTTTTTAGTTGAATTAGCTTTTTCTGGTATAGGAATTCTTTGAATAGCATTTTTCAAAAAGTGCTATGTGATTTTTCCAGACATCTTCCTTTTGAGGCAGTCCATTTGATTGTTAAGCAGCTGTGTTAGAGAATTATTTTTGTGCTAAGTTCTTGTGCTAGGATTGAGAATATAGATATGCATTAAAATATGTTTTAAGAGCCGGGTGTGGTGGCACATGCCTGTAATCCCAGCACTCAGGAGGCTGAGGCAGGAGGATCACTGTGAGTTCGAGACCAGCCTGGGCTACATAGTGAGTTCCAGGTCAGTCTCAACTATACAGTGAGAGAGACCCTGTCTCGAAAAACAAAACAAAACAAAAAAAAAGTTTTAAGGGCTGGGGAGATAGATCAGGTAGAGCGCTTACCTAGCATGCACAAAGCCCTGGGATCAAACAAACATAAGATATAGTTTTGTCCTTAAGCATTTATAATCCAGGTGTGTAGTGGTGGAATAGGAGAAGCACACATATGCTACACCTGAATGCAGCTTGCTCAGTGAATGAGAGTACTCCCGATTCCCCTGCTCACAACTCCTCATAACAATTCTACTTTCTGGCTCTGTGAATTTGACTATTCGGAGGTAACCTTATATCAATAGAATAATATATTTATCCGTTGTGTCTGGCTTATTTCTTGAGCATATTTTAAAGGCTCTTCATGTTGTAGCATGTCACAATTTAATTACTTTTTTTTTTCTATTTTTTGGTACCAGGGATTGAACTTGGGACCTCGCACTTGCGAGGCAGGTGGCAGAATCACTGAGCTAAATCCCTGGCCCCCAGAATTTAATTACTTTTAAAGCTGAATAATTTTCTGTTGTATGTGTATAATATAGTTTATCTACCCATCAATTAGTAGATACTGGCAAGAATATTCTAAAGTTTTCAGGTATCTAGTACAATATCTGACATGCAGGTGCTTAGTATTTGAATATTTGAATGCAGGACAGATTGAATGAGAGAAAGGCAAAGAGTTTTTCAGAGGAAATGACAGTAGAGCTGGCCCTTTTTTGCTAGGCAGAAAAGTGATGGTCTTAATCCAATATAATGAATGCTTATAGCTCAGTGCTAGCTACCTTGTAGGGCTATCTAGCAATGACTTAAAAGTTTTGTTTAAGAATAACATAAGCTAGTGAGGATAAAGGGAATAAGAAAACTAAATGAAAATCTAAATAACAGGAGATGTTGAAACACTATGCTTTGGGGCTGAAAGGAGGAAAAGTAGTATCTTGTTGAGAGACTACAGAAAGCTGACTTTCACAGAGGAAATTGCATTGACATTGTATCTTGAAGAATTGGATAGGTTTAGACATGTAGAAGGTGGGGGCGGTTGCAGGAATAGATAACTGGAGCAACCATATGGGGTGAAAAATTACAGCCATATTTTGTGAAATACGAGGATCAGGTTGTAAAGAAGAGGAAGCGGTAAGGAATAGAAGATTGGAAAGGGATCATGTTGAAGAGGGGCTTGAATCTAAAATTTGGAATCTGTATTTGTTATAGGTAGCAAGAGAACTATTGCATTTTTTTCAGCAGGGAAATTGTGATCAGTATATTTTGGTAGAAAGAATGAAAGAATAGGTACTAGTAAAGAGGAAGCTGTTACAAGTTGAGAGGTAATGGTGACTCTATATTTCAATCCTTTAATTTATTGAGTACCCACAATGCTTGATTGTTTTAGGCCAAGAAAATGACAAATGACAAAAGATGGACATGGCCTCTCTATTTTAGTGTTTATATTCTTGATAGAGGAAGAAGGTCCGGGCGAGGAAGATAGCATAAACATTAAAAAAAAGAAAAATGATTTTGTAGTGTATGAAGTGCTGTGTAGGGAGTACATATGATAGAGAATAGGGGGGTAGGCAGTTTAAGGAGGGCCACTCTGAGGAGATGACCTCTGAGACTTGAAGGATTAGAGAACAGCCAGAAAAGTTTGAAGAAGTAGGAACAAAAAATGTAAAGACATTGATTTGTGAAAGATTTTATAGTTCTGATGAATACAAACACATTTTGTGGCTGGCTTGTAGTATAAATTAGAGGCTAGTGCCGCATGTGGTGGAGCATGCCTGTAATCCCAGCACTCTGGAGGCTGAGGCAGGAGAATCACTGTGAGTTCGAGACCAGCCTTCGCTACATGGTGAGTTCCAGGTCAGTCTCAACTACATAGTGAGACCCTGTCTCAAAAAACAAAACAAAACAAAAAAATAAATTAGAGGCTAATAAGTGAAGAAGTTGAAAGTAGGAGGGAATAAGATTGTATAAGTTTGAGGACCTTTGGAACGGATTTGAATTTCATTTATAAGTGCAAAGAAATTAACAGAAGGATTTCAAATAGAAGGATGATGTATTCAATTGATTGAATACACAGATTCATAGATTAGTGGCTCTCAAAGAATTTGAGGAGTTAAAGGCAGTATGGAGATTTAGCAATACAATAGGAATCAGGTTGAGTGGGAGTTGAAGGTGACTATAGTTTGAGCCTGCTACACTTAGAAGGAATGCACCATTTATAGAAACAGAAAAGTGACCAGCAGTTGTTTTATTGGGAAGAAGGAATAAATACTTATTTTTAGCTGCTCCAGAACTGCTAGGTAAAAATGTATCTAGGGATATGGTTGGAAATGTGGGTTTAATTCTTAAAAGAGATTATGGGACTAGAAACAGAGCCAGACACCATATATGTAGAGTAAATGGGATTTTTTGTGTGCCAGAGATTGAACCCATGGTTTTGTGCATGCTAGGCAAGTACCCTGCACTGAGCTACATCCCCAGCTCAAGTAAATAGGATTTTATCTGTTGCAAGACCCTACCTCTTTAGTTTATTGGGGGTGCGGAGTTGCTGCCTACTTGCCCTAGCCCCTGGTTCTTTGGAACTGGCCTATAATGTTTTTAATGACTAGGCAGTCTAAGTCTTGATATATCAATAATTATGTCACCTTGGCTAAAGTTGTAAATCAGCATTAATAATAGCCTCAAACATAGCCTAGAGGATCACAAACTGGTAGCTATTAATTTGCCACCTTTCACTGTATGAACTAGATTTATGATTATATAACAAAGTCTAACACAAATGAGAAATATGTTTATAGCAAATAAGCCCTCAATATAGTGAATTTACCCTCTGGGAAGAAAATTTAGAAGGAGTTGCGGAGGTAGAGAAATAGAAGGAGGAAAAGATAAGGCTAGAAGACAAAGGAAGATCATGCAAACTTTGGGAAACTGGTAAAGACAGGAGGGAAAGAGAAGAAAGAAATAAAAACAAGAACAGAACAAGACAACAGCAGTAAGAAAACTAGAAACTATTCATGCTCCGATAAAAATAATAACAGTCAAGAAAAAAAAAAAAGAAAACAGGATAAAAACAAAGGAGAGAAATGAAGGAAAAGAAGAAAAAAGTCTACTTCAAGGTGTGTCTCTGCTGTCACTGGTAGACAACATGTGCAGCATACAGTTTCGAGTTGATTAATCCAAGCAAGCCAGCTACAGTCCACTGAATTTCTGGCTGCCCTGCTGGGGCTGAGCTTCCTGACCTCCTGCGGGTTTGAACTCTGTACTATTCCACGGCAGGTTCAAGCTGGAGCTGCCTTTCCCTGACAGGAGTCAGGTCTCTGATAGGAGGTGCTGACCCCAACAACTCACCAACCACTGCAGTCCATTGCGTCTCTTTTCCAGTGTCTCTCTGTTCACTCTCCTGGTGGGCTTCAGTTCTGGACACCAAAGCTCTGAGAGGTCATCTCTCTGTGCTGCTCACCACTCTGCCGTCTTCCTGAGCTCAGAACAAAGGCCTTTCTGTGCTCTGCTGCTGTCCGGCCTCAGGCAGCTCTTGGGGCAGGTGGCCTCTCTCTCAAGTAAATTGAATTTTAAGAAAGAGCGTACAGAGGGAAAAGGAAGCAGAGGCTGAAGGCAAAACTTTTTTAGAGAATAACTGTTTATAGTGAGAAAAGAGACAAGAAAAATAGTCCAGAGGTTGAAAGAAAGAATAACGTTATCAAGTCATGGGAAAATGGACTGTTAAGAAAGAAGGGTGAGGGCTGGGGATTTAGCTCGGTGGTGCCGCCTCCTGCCTTGCAAGCGCAAGGACCCGAGTTCGATCCCTGGTACCAAAAAAAAAGAAGGAAGGGTGGGAGGAGAACCAAGGCCTGGGTCAAGGAACAGAGTCTGAATTTGGCAAAAGTCCTTGGGAATCCTCAAATGAGCAGAATGATAGTGAAACTAGATGGCAGAGAGTAAGCAGTGAGGAAGTTTTTCAGTTCTCAATAACCGTTGTTGTTGTTATTGTATATTTTTTGGTACCGGGGATTGAACTTGGGACCTTGGGCTTACAACACAGATGGTGGCTCCATTGAGTTAAATTCCCAGCCCTGATAACCATTATTTTAATGCAATGAATAGTGGCTATTATAGAAAAATCTAGATATTTAACAAATCTTTAAGAATCTGCTGTCAGGCATTGGGCCAGGTTGTAGATTCTTCTGTTCAAGAAAGTTAAAGAGAGGCAAACATACAATTACAAATTTACCATTCCTTAATTCTTTCATGTCTCTACTTTTATCCTCCTGTGCTTAGATCCATGGTCCATTAGTGAAATTACTTTTTTGAAGAGCTGGGTGTGCTGGCACACTGCTACAGTCCTAGCACTCAAGAGGTTGAGGTAGGAGGGTCATGAGCTCAGGAGTTTGAGGCCAGCTTGGGTACCATAGTGAGATCTTGTCTTAAATAACAAAACAAACTAACCAAAAAAAAACAAAAACCTTTTGTGAATGAATTCTTAAAAACTTGCTCCTCTCTCTCTTATTGTAATCACTTAACTAAATTCAGACACTTTTTTTTTGAGACTGAGGTTTTGCTAAATTCCCCAGGCTGGCTTCAAACTGACAATCCCACCTCAGACTCCAAGTAGGTGAGACTACAGGCGCAACATACACCACGTTGTCTGGCTTCCCAACTCGATCATCCCCTGCCTTCCTTCTTGTCCTTCCCGCCCTCTTTCTCTTCTTCCTTCTCTTCCTCTTCTCTTCCATCTTCAGATTCTTCCTTCACTTTCTTCTTTCTCTGAGCTATTCAGTCTGTGGCGAGATGATTCATAGTTCAGGCCTAGCGTAGGTGACTTAGTGAAACCCTATCTCAACATAAAAAGAGGGCTAGGGATGTAGCTCTCAATCCGTGGGTTCCTTCCCCAGTATCACAGTCAGTCAAGCAGTCAGTCAGTCGATCCCTTCAATCATATCTCTTCCCATCTACTTCCTTATTGCTGTTGTTTATACAAATGTTCCTCAAGATAGTTGTCTATGGACATTGATTCTTTTCTTGAATCTGTTTTAGTAAGGCTTTTATTTTCACCATTTCACTGAAAAACCATTCAGTTAGGGTTACTCAGTGATCTCTATTTCGCCAAACTCTATGACCATTGCACTTATTATTTATTTTTTGCTACAGTGCTTTTTAAAACATTGATTTTTTTTTAGTGTAACTTGGTTTCATTTTTACTTCATTAATTGCTCTCTTGGTTTCCTTTGCTTGTTCTTCTGCATATCCCATTGATGTACCTAGGGCTTAGACTGCAACTCTTCATTTATCTAGCTGTTAGCACTTTTAAGTAACACCTAGAGAGTGTCAACTTCTAAATTTATATCTATAGCTGAGACCTTTCCTCTCAACTTCAGACTTTTAAAGTAGGCTATCGTGGTTGTTTATTTATTTTTTTAAGATGATCTGGTTTTTAAAATGCATTTTATTAGTACGTATTAATTCTACAAAATACTGGGTTTTGGTGTGTTATTTTCATTCTTGCAAATAATGTACAGTATTTTGATTATACCCATGCCCTTCTTACCCTCCCCTATACCTCTGTTGCCTCTTCCCTTTGTTTCCTTTCTTTTGTCTAGAAATAGTTAGATCATCTGCTTTCAAATGTTCTTTGGCATCTCAAATTTGTCTAAAACCAAACTTTTCACTTCTTAAATGTGTTATTTGTATGTAACTTTTTAATGTCAATAAATGACAATTCCATTCTTCTAATTGCTGAAGTTAAAAACATTAAAACCATCTTGATCTTGTATCTTTATCTCCTTTCCATATCTAAGCATCATCAAATTATGTTAGTTCTCTCTTCAAAATATATTGAATCCCACCATTTCTTATTATTTGCATTGCTTCTACTTTTGACTATCATAATAGTGTCCTAACATGTACCCTGCCCACTTCGAGCAGTCCAGCTCCCTAGGAGTGAGCCTTTTTAATCAAAGATGAATTTGCCCAAACCATCTATATCTTACTATCTCACTCAGTAAAAGTTAAAGCTTTAAAATAGCCTACAGGCTGTTGTTACATTTTCTGAGCTCTTTTACATCTCTTGCTCATTCCTGCTCCTCTCCCCATTGCTTATTCAGCCCCAGCATTAAGGGCTTCATTGCTGTTTTTCAGACATGCCCAGCATGTACCTGTCAGAGTCCCACAGTCTGGACAGCCTTGCCCTTAGTTATCTGCTTTGCCAGCTTCCTCACTATATTTAGGACTCTGCTCAAATATCACCTGAGCAGCGAGGTTTTCCTTGAGTAGCACATATAAAATAGCTCTCTCTCCACTGTTAGAACTATCTTTTATTTTTATTCTGCTTTATTCCCCCACAAACTTACTACCATTTGATATAACTTGTTTTTATTTAATATTTTAAGGAATTTTAAAATCTTCTTTCATAAACTGAAATATGACCATATGTTCCTCAAGTTACCTGCGAGTATGGACCTTATCTGCCCTGTCATTGTATCCATGGTGCTTTGTAAAATTCCTAATTCATAGTAGGTGTTTCATACCTTTTTTGAATGAATGAATGAATGAGTGACTGAATGCATGCCTTTTAACTTTCAGAGAGATCAGCTGTCATTTATAATGAGGACATGCGTGGGTGTATACACCTGAAATAACTACATTTGATTAGGTTATCTTCTAATGGATACTTCATAGGAATAATTTGTCATCCATCTAAATGCTGGCCTTTGAAGCATTGATTAATTTAAACCAGTCCAGAAGTTCAAACCTATTGGGTTTGACCTTTCACAAATCCCAGTGCCTCATTTATCATGTATAATACATAGTATGGTGTAAAGAAGTATGGAGGTATATTTTTCCACAAAGTCTGCATGCTGCTATAAGAAGAGTTACATGGAAATGGTGCAGTATTTTACTATGATATGATGAATCAACCTGCTGTGGTTTTAGATTATGCCTTATGGAACTTATAAAACATTGCTGTTGTATACTTTGGTTATAAATTATCTTTAGATATGGTCTGGACTACTCAAGCATCAAATTACACCCATCTAACGTGCATGGCTCTTCAAAAGCTTTGCTTTATAAACGAGTTGAACGACTTGAATCATTTATTTGTTGTGGTAGCCTAAATAGTCATTTCCAAGAATTAAAAGCAAGTATAAAAGACAAAATAATATAAGGTGCTAGATCACTTACCCAACTATAACTCATTCAAGGAGTTTACTTACGTTTTGTGCACTAACAAAAAAACTCGAGTGCTGGTGACTGTGGCAAATGTTAATTATCCCCTTAAATAGATACAGCTTCTGCTTCCTCCTCAGAGACATAGAGACCACCTGATTTTGGGTCCTGCAGAGTTTGTCTCTGTCCTCTGTGAAATAATAGTATATATACCTGCACACACATAGTTATATATACCTTTCACCCCCTTGAGTCTGATTAACTTAGTAAAACATATTTCTTATATGAGCCAATAAAAGTAGTACTTCAGTAGAATTTTTTTGGAAAAAAAACTACATTTTTGTCTTGTTCACAGGAAGGGAGGCAACAATAAATTAATAAAGATCTACCATCGGGATGGTAAATATGGCTTTTCTGATCCTCTGACATTTAATTCTGTGGTGGAGCTCATTAACCACTATCATCATGAATCTCTTGCTCAGTACAATCCCAAGCTTGATGTGAAGCTGATGTACCCAGTGTCCAGGTACCAACAGGTATGATTATTGACATTCTTGACAGCTATCAAGCAAGTTGTTATTTAACTATCAGATTTATTGATTGGAAAAAGAGGAACAGTAGTCCTTTTAAATATTCTATGACTGATTTTATATATTTTTGGAACTTTGTGGCTACTGTTCCATAATAGCCTGTTGCATATATTTATTAACTTTATATAAAATACTTCTGTTTATATTTTCCATTTATACCTTATTGCTTAGTTTTTGATGTAGTATAATTATTTTTGTGTGATTTAAAGGCTCATCTTAGTGCTAGCAAAAGGACTTACTGCTTCTGAAGTTGAAATACAATTTAAAAATAAGCTGGGCCGGGGTCTGTAATCCCAGCACTCTGGGAGTCTGAGGCAGGAAAATACAGAGTTCAAGGCCAGCCTGGGAAACTTAGCAACTTTGTGAAACCTTATCTCAAAATAATAAAGAAAAAGGCTGGGGAATGTAGCTTATTGGGAAAGCCCTGGGTTCAATTTCCAGTACAGCAGAAACAGACAGGTACCACTGGGAGTGTAGCTCAGTGGTGGCAGAGTGCTTGCCTGGCATGTGGAAGGCTCTGGGTTCCATCTCTTATGTAACCAAAAAAATAAAAGACATGGAAAAGCTGACATGTCAGAATTGTTAACACTCTATTTCTTTTGTTTACCTGTATAGGATCAATTGGTAAAAGAAGATAACATTGATGCAGTAGGTAAAAAACTGCAAGAGTACCACTCTCAATATCAGGAAAAGAGCAAAGAATATGACAGGCTATATGAAGAATATACCAGAACATCTCAGGTTAGTATATATATGTGTGTTGTTCGGGCTAATAGTTATGCCATATTATAGTTACATCAGATCTTCTATAATCACTGGCTATTTTAGTAGTTTAAAAATCCTTTTTTGAGACTTGGATGATATAACCTCCATTTATAAATTGCCTTTTATTGGTTAAGGATATAATTCTGCACCAGTTAGTACTGATTATGTGTGACCAAAAAATAATAAAATAGTGAAGGCTTCATAGAGAAAATGTTCTTTTATATGTATATAGGCAGTACAGGTGTATTATGGCAATTCCACAGTCATTAGGATTTGGATTTACAAGCTTATTCTGTCTTATTCTTTGCTGTCTGTCTGTGGAACTTACCTTGTCCTAATATTAGCCATTCACAGCCATATTCTAGTAAACAGGGAGAAAGTTTTCCTTTAAAAATTATATTTCTTTTTTTCTGGTATTGGAGATTGAACCTAGGATGAGATTCCTATTTTTAAGGTGACTTCCTAGAAGGAACACACCCTACTTTCACTTTTATCCCACTGGCTGAAACTTAGTTACAGGGTCATATTTAGCTATAGATCGAAATTAGCTTTGGGGGAGACTGAGAAATGTAGTCACTATGCGATCAGGTGCCCAGCTAACATTTAGAAGCAAATAAATGGAAATCATAGAAACACTAGTACTGTGTTTAACAATCAGAATTGTTTTATTATATTAATAATGTACAGCAAAATTCTGAACAAGAGTCTCATTCTTTATTAGAATTTCTTTCTTTCTTTTTTTTTTTCATGCCGGGGATTGAACTCTGGACCGAATCACTGAGCTAAATCTTTGGCCCTCTTAAAATTTATTTGTTACTACTTTAATTTTTTTTTTCACTGAACTTGAATTGATTTAATTTGTTCTAAATTGTTATTTAGTATATGAAAGGTATTGGGAATTTTGATGTATGTCTTTAAGGAAGTTTATATCTTTTTTTTTTTTAGGGATCAAACTAGACCTTGTGCTTGCAAGGCAGGTGGCGCAGAACAACTGAGCTAAATCCCTGCCTTATACTTTATAATATTAGAGTTCTTAGTGTAGGAAAATATATTTAACTATATATCTCATTCACATGGAATACAAGGTTATTACTTTGTATATCAAGTGATTTGTTAGTCTATGGTGATTTTACTAAATTCCAAGTGAATTCTGATTACAGCATTAACTGCATGGATCCAAAAATGAATATTTTTAAAGTAGGGTTTACTTTCTATTTAATAGATATCTAGTATACTGTATAGCAGAAATCATACTGTATTTATACCTTATTTTCATTTTTATTCAGTTTTTTATTTTCAGACACGGTTTCACTATGTAGCCCAGGCTGGCCTTGAACTTGCAGCAATCCTCCCGCCTCAGCCTCCCAAGTGTTGGGATCATAGGCATGTACCACCATACCTGGCTCATTCAGTTTGAAATATTTTCTTATTTTCCTTGTAATTTCTTATTGATCCATGTGCTACTTAATTCCTAAATATTTGGGACTTTAAAAAGACATTTATTTTCTAATTTAATTCTGTTGTCAGTAAGCATCATTAAAGTTATAGTCTTTTGAAAATTAATGGTGAATTACCTAGTATAAACTTGTCTTGGTAAACTTCCCATGTGCACTGACAAAGACCATGTATCCTGTACATGTTGGTATAGTTTACTATAGATAGCAGTTAGGTCACAGTGGTTGATAGTGTCATTCAGATGTCAAGTATCACTGACCTTTACTTATTTTAAAAATTTATTTATTTATTTATTGAGAAATCTCGCTCTGTGGTTCAGGCTGGCTTTGAATTCACTATGTATCCCAGGCTGGCCTCAAACTACAGTGATCCTCCTGCCTCAGCCTCTCAAATACTGGGATTATAGGTGTGCACTGGCATTGACCTTTTTATTTTTGAGATGAGGTCTTACTGTGTTGTCCAGGCTGGCCATGAACTTGTGATTTTCCTGTTTCAGCTTCCCAAATAGGTTGGATTACAGGTGTGTGCCACTACATGTGCTTGGGTGGTTTTTTTGTTGTTGTTTTTTTTTCTAATTATTCTGTCAGTTATTGGGAAACTATGAGCCAAATTAAACTTCTCCTCCTTTAAGTTGTGGTTGTTGGGTATTGTGTTCCAGCAATAGGAAAACTAGTCTGATCTTAGTTAAGTTTATTCCTAAGTATTTTATTCTTTTGATGTTGTTATAAATGGAGTTGTTATTCAGTTTCTTTTTTCGATCATTAATTTCTCTTTTATAGAATACAGTTGATTTTGTATGTCAATTTTGTATCCTGCCATTTTGTTTTTTTATAAGCTCTTAATAGTTTCTGTAGATTTTTAAGGTTATCTGCATATAAGATCATGTCTTTTGATGTAGTTTTACTGCTTACTTTCCAATCTGAATGTATTATTTCTTTTTATTGCCTAATTGGTCTGACTGAAACTTCCATTATTGTGTTGAATAAAAGTGACAAGAGTAGATATCCTTGTCTTATTCCCAATCTTAAATAGAAAGCTTTTTTCATCTTTCATGATTTTTAAATTTTGTTTCATATATTTCGGGACTCTTGTTAGTAGAAGGTGTCATAGAGACATCTGGTGAATGTTTAAATTTTACAGAATTTAGTACTGTAAAAGCTATCCCCATCAGTCCCCCTCAGAGAACTCTGTCTCACTTCAAACATACTTGCATCATTTTTGCAGTTGTGGAAGTCCTCTTTCTTGAGTGTCTTTAGTTGTGCTGTCATGGCTGCCTTGATGTCCTGAATCACTTCAGAGTGTTTACATTAAGAGCCAAAAGTTACATGGTGCCAGATTTGGTAAATAATGTGGATAAAGAGGGTGAAGGGAGGGCAGGGACAAGGGGAAAAAATGAGAACCAAGACCTGTCATGTAAAGGTACAAGATCCCAGTAACGGATGTAACTGTACTGTATACCTAGAATGTACCAATAAACTCAATAAAAAGAAAAAAATGTGGATAAGATATTCTGCAGTGTTTTCAAAAGCTTTTCTTTCCATTGGATGGCATTTGGCAGTAGTATTCACCTCATTTTTGATCATAAATACACTCAACAAAGACTTCCAGAAGTGCTTCAGAAACTGGCAAGAGTGATGGGATAAATGTGTTCGTTCGAGTGAGGGGTATATTTTTAGGGGGATTAAAGGCAGTTGTCTTTTGCTGTCATAAATTTTAATTAAAATTTTTAAATTTAAACATTTTCCCTCCCCTCCCCTCCATCTTTTCCTCCTTCCTTCCCTCCTTTCTGACAGGATCTCACTATGTAGTTCAGGTTGGTGGAACTCACTATGGAGCCCAGGCTGGCCTTGAACTTGCTGTTACCTTCCTGCCTCAGCCTCCCAAAATCTAGGATTACAGGCATGCACAGCCACGCCTGACTTCACTGTATATTTCAATAATCCCTTCTCTGTGTTTCTAATGGTTACATCTTGATGATTGGAATGATCGATATATAACTGTCTTTGTCTCTTGGAATTTCTTGGACTTAAAATCTATTTTGTCTGATAATAATGTAGCTACTATAGTTCTCTTTAGGTTCCCTTTTACACAGAATCTTTTTCTATTCTTTTTGCCTTACTCCTCTGTGTGTCTTTGCATCTGAATTGAGCTTCTTATAGACAGGATATCATTAGTCATGGTTTTGGTTTTGTTTAATCCATGTACCAGTTTCTGCCTTTTAGTTGAGGAGTTTGATCTGTTTATGTTAAAAATAATTACTTGATCTCCTGTACCAAAAAAAATTAATTACTGATAAGAAAGGACTTCTTCCTTATATATTTTTTGTTCTCCACTTCTTCCATTATTGCTTTTTAAAAATTAATTTAAGAGTTGTAGGATTTGTAGCTGGATATTTAGATATAGGCCTTCCAGTCAGTATTGAGTGTTACCTGATATAACCTCAACTGTATGAACCATCACAGGTTTCAAGCCTCCCTTAGCCTCTGATCTTTTTATTATCCAGCCCTTCTGAGCAGTTATTGACCCTCAGACTTACCCCATTATTTTTTATATATTACATACCAAGCCTTCAATGTGTAGTGCTGCATGTTCTACACTGACTTAGTTTAGATGTCACCTCCTCAGTCAAGCATATATAAAGCAGTTAACCGTACTCCGTTGCCTCTACCATGACATAAAACCAAACCTTATTAAAATCAGCATTCTATTCCACGTGTGTATTCTGAGTCCTGCAGGGCAGACTTCATGTTTTACAGATGTCTTTGTCATCAGGTGACATGGATCCACAGTAATCATTAGTTGAAATGAATAAATGCTGTATAATTGAGGAATTATCCCACCAGCATCAAAATTTCTAGAATTGCAAATATTCAAGGTAGCACACATTCTAGACCTTTATGATTATTTGGTGTCTTTCTAAGAAGAAACTGAACACAATTTACTCCCTTTTGAAGATTTTAGGGAAATCGTAGTTTAGATATTTACTAATCTCCTCAGACCTCATTAAAGCATAGAATTAGCCAGAAGAGGTGGTGCATACCTGTAATCTCAGCACTCTGGGAGACTCAGCCAGGAGGTTACAAACTCAAGCTCAGCCCAGGCAAGTCAACAGTTTAGTGAGACTTTTTTTAAAGGAAATGTAGTTCAGTGCAGAGGCCCGGGCATAGGTTTAATCCCCAGTACTAGAAGAAAGAAAAGAAATATATAGAAAGCAAAAAAAAAAAAAAAAA